GGATGGATGGATGGATGGATGGATGGATGGATGGATGGATGGATGGACTTTTAGTTTGACGGGAAAATCTGACAGTCGATCAAATGGGTGACATAGAAAACTTTCCCGATGAGAAACATCTGAAAACAACCTAAATTCAGCAATGGCGGTCTCACGTAGCAGGTCGGCTGTCCAGGTGGTGTCTGAAGGAACCTGGATCTGCACACCACATCAGAACACCTCCCAGAACTGCTTACAGGTGCCTTTACACATCTGTGTCCCACTAAATGAGTGAATGCAGCTGGATACTCACCAGAAACGTTTAGAGTGATGCGATCGCTCCACTTCGTTAAAACGTAGTCCTTCCTGGCCCAGCAGCTGAACTCTACAATGTCAGAAACTCTGATTTCTCTGGATGTTTCAGGAATATTAAGCCATTCATACTTCCACTGAGTTCCACCTTCTTCCTCAATCTGACATGTGGCAGTGACTGTCTCTCCTCTGTATATCAGAGTCCAGCTGGGCTGTAGGACCACTGTGGGCTTCACGGAAACTGTTCACGCAGAAACAAAGGACAACCACACTTGCAGCTTTCAGCTTTTTTTACTGCCAAAATTAAGATTTAACCAGTGAACAAATTCTATTAAATGCACGTTATTGTGTTGGACTGCAACTATTTCACCAAAAATTGCCATTTTTTTTTAAAAACGTGTCAGTATTTGGAATATTTGAACTTTTTCATGCAGTTATCATTTGTCTGAGAGGCTCTGCAACATGAAAAGTTAGATTTTAATTGACAAAGAGGCCGGACTTAGCAGAGCAAAGGTTTTACACCTCTGAACTCACAGGTTAATATGCATGTCACAAAAAAACGTGTCATGAATGAAACCGAAGTTTTTGCTTGACCGATAAACAAATCAGAGGCCTTTAATATTTCAGAACAAATTAATAAACTTACGGGTTTTCCTGATGATGACCGGTCTGCTGTTTTCGGTGTAGAGAACTTCCCCTTCTCCTCTTCCTCCTCTTCTCCCTCTGCAGGTGTATTCACCTCCGTCTGACACTGTGAGGACCTTATTGTCTGTTTCCAGCTGAGCTCCAAGATATACTGAGCTACCATTTCTGAACCAGTCAAAGCTCCATCCATCAGAGCCGTCCTCCACAGAGCAGGTCAGTGTCACACTGCCCCCTGCTGTTATGATTTTGCTCCGTGCTTTCAGAGAGGCTGCAGGTCTGCCAGCTGCTGATTTCAGAGGGAAAAAGGGGAAATACAAATGTCTTATTTTTAAAAACGTCAAATTTGCTCATCGCTGCATTTCATGGGTGCTGTGCTGGATAAATGTAAACTAATAAAAACTTTCTATTCACGTGACAGAAACTGTGATGGGAATGTTTAAGGCCAGAACTCAAAGGAAATTATTAGTTGATTGGGAGGAGGAAAGAGTGAAATAAAGTAGAGCAGGTTAGCTTTAGCACTGTTAGCCAAGACGGGTCAGAGATTTCACAGAGTCAAGGCAAACAGGTGGGGGGGGGGGTTTCCAGGATCCAGAACTAGGTTGTCCGGGGACGGTCCAGGGTCATGCACAGGAAGAATACAGAAAAATCAGAGGCAAGCAGGGTCAAACGAGCTTTGAACTTTGAACATTAACCTCGGAACTTGAAACTTTAAGCTTTAAACTTGGAACTGGTAACTTTAAACTTTGAACTTTGAACTTTGAACTTTGAACTTTGAACTTGAAACTTTAGACTTTAAACTTTGAAATCTAAACGTGGAACTCGGACCTTTAAACTTTAAACTTGGAACTTGGAACCTGGAATTTGCAACTTGGAACTAGGAACTTTAAACTTTGAACTTTGAACTTGAAGCTTTAGACTTTAAACTTGGAACTTTGAAATCTAAACGTGGAACGTGGAACTTGGAACTTTAAACTTGGAACTTTAAACTCGGAACTTGGAAGTGGATTCATGACAGAAACTAGACAGCAGACAAAGTCCATCCTCGATGTTCTCGGCTGGCCCGGTACCTTTCTGACCCACTTTATGCTGAAACACGGCATCCAAATCAGCAAACAAACTGTTGAAGTCTGATGTTGTTTGGTGCGTTTGACAGTCAGGGGCGGGCCTCCCTCACCAGGAAGGACTCTGACACACTCCCCCACACCCTCCCAATGCATCAAGAGTCAAAGAGTCTGGTAAGAGGTGTGACACCAAAGGCTACCGAGCCGGAAATGTGTGAAAAGACAGAAAGCGGGGTCAAGAGAGATAAATGAGGAGCTGGCTGGTAAATTAATAGCTTGTATGATGTAGGAACTTTGTCTAACCTTCAGCTTGTCCACCGATGGGAGTTCTGAGCACTGCAAAAAGATAAAGACCCGTATAGATGGAGAAGTCAAACTAAAATAGACAGAAGCGTCTTCGAAAAAGAGGAACTTTGATATTAGAAAAGGCTATCGATGCATAAAGCATTTTAAAAGAAAGTAGGCGGGGAATGTGCACAACAAATAACATTTTGCACATAAAAACTTACAACACATCAGACAAAAGGCACAAAACTGAGGCGCTGCTCCTCTGAGCTAAAACAGCCAGCCTCCCAAACAAAACCCCAGCTCTGCTGCCCTCAGGCAAACACAGCAAATATCCTGTAATCCCCAGAAATCAGACGGCGATGTACTCACAGAATAAGCCCAGGGCACAGAGCAGAGAGCGCTCCATCCTCGCCTCAACAGAGTGACACAAACTCACAGCTAATGACCTGTTCTCACTTTGAGCCTTTACTTCCGTCTCTCTCACACCGAGCTCAAAACCACCCCCTGACAGCAGCATTCGTCTAATGTGGTTACACTTCCTGTCCATTGCGGAAACACGGGCCTCAAAGCTTTTGCAAAGGGCTGCTCGTGCTCCAGTAAAATACCACTATACTGCTGTGCATGTGGACAAGAGAGGAGTTGTGTGCATGCATGGTTATTTCTGCTACGCCAACTTCAGGTTTGAGTGAATGAGCTGATGTCCTGACTCTGTTTCAAATGACGTGTTCGCGTGCACCACCCTGAGGCTCTCTAACCCCAAACAAGGGCAAGGGGTTTTTTTTTTTTTGTCATGAGTGCATGTCCAGCCTTCCTTCTCTGAGTGCTATTAGCATTTTCACCTGTTTTTTGTCTCTATAGTTTGAGGATTTCTGCGACCCTGCAGGTTTGGGATGCTTCCCTGCTTCCACACAACTGGTCCTGATCAAACTGATCTCCTGAAACCAGCCCTGCCTCAGAGATTTGTCCTGTCCTTCAGTTGTTTTTTTTTTTTTTACCAATGACAGTTTTGGGCTGAGCAAGGCTTATAGACTGTTCTTCAGAGCTCGTTATTTGGTGAGATTTGGCCACCATAACATGGCAAAACTAGACAGGAAACAAACTTCCCGCATCCTAATTAAACAGAGAATCTGAGGGGTGCCCTGATATAACTCACAGGGATGACAGGATGTGCTGCCTTTATTTAAGAGAGACATTTGCAGAATTGCTAGCGGGAAGTTCTCAGACGGGTCCCGATAAAACGCTGTTATGCTCCGGTGGAGGAGACGAGCATCACCAAGTTGTGGGTCCATGTTTAACCTCTGAAACCACACACCTCAACCCAGTTCTACGCTTCCTGTTTTCGCACAGCGGCGTGAAAACAAACATTGACACGACCACCGCGTTTGGTTCAGAGCTGCTTTAAAAAAAAAACAGGAGCAGCCTTTTCTGTGAGTTCACAGACAAACATATGCAGTTTACCGTCTAAATGTGAAGGAAAGACAAGAAATCAGCACGGCTGCCCTCTCCAGGGGGGCCGTGTTCCTCCCGGTTCGCACCCTCTTACCCCTCTCCCCTGGGCTCCAGCACACAGAACGCACTCACCACATAGGGAATCGGGACTATGGGGGGGGGTAAGGGTGCCTCCTAGGAGGTTCTCTTCTCCCCTTCCTGCAGGACCCCCCACCTCGTGTTTTAATGGCACCCTAGACATTACATCTGACCATACCCACACTAACACATAGGCCAATGGGGGAGGGTGTTGAGCGGGGTCGGGGGGTGAGGCTCTTCGGGCAGTGGGGGCTACTCGGGGGGGCCTTGCTCTGTGGCATTGAACGGGTCACGACAGACGGGCCTCCGCCATATCCGAGCCACGAGGCCAGATCTCGCACCGTTTGCCCGCAATCGCTGTTGATGTTTTAGTCAAATTTTGGAGGTCAGAGAATTTTCCCCACACTGTAGCTCAGCTCGTTAATGCCTGTGAGAACCCTGTGGGGACGTTCACCAAAAAAAAGTCAAACTCTGACGTCT